AGTCTAGGTTCACACCTATGCAGGTTGCGTTTGCGGCGTTTATGCATTGCGTTTTGCATTTTTGCACTTGCATTTTTTATGCGTTTTGCGGGGGGGGGGGGGGCTTAAGGTTTATTTTTTATTTTTGATGTTGCTAGGCAGATTTAAAAATGCAATACATGCTTTTCTGCAGCGTTCCCATTGAAGTCTATAGAATCTAAAACGCAACGTTTTGTGTTTAAAATAAAAAAGTCCCTGACCCTTTCCAAAAAATGCACCAGGTGAAAACGCAGAAATGTGAACATGTCCCATAGGAAATCATGTTAAATGGACTGTACTGCGTTTCTGCAAAACGCAGCAGAAAATGCTTAGGTGAACCTAGGGTCAGAGCAATTTTTACATTTCTGCTATTAGCGTGTTTATTCAGAAATAACTGATTAATCAAATAATACATCAAACAGGTAATAATAAATAATAATAATAATAATAATAATAAATAATATTAGTAATATTATCTTGCAAACATTATTTTATTTTTACATTTATTTAAAATATTTAATTTTTTTATGCAATCATAAAAACGATGTTGAGTAGTTTTTAAACAATTAGGGATGGAATTACGAAGGCTCCGTTCACACCAACGCATTTTTTAGTGCTTTTTGCTTTTTATAGAAACGCACTACAGTCCACTTAACATTCACAAACCCATCCAGCGCACTACAAGTCCCAGCCTTCAAATTCCAATGTCCAATAGTCTGTAGAGACGGGGGGAGCAGATGGAATGAAAATTGCTCAAAAGATTCTGCAGCTACCAATAGATCTGGGAAGATCCAGAAACAGCTTGAAAAAAACAAAAGAACAGCAGCGCGGGATCTCCGTAATACATGTAGTTTTATTAAACAATAAAAAAAAAAATAGCACACTCACATGTAAAATTCTTATCAAACAGATCTGGTGCAGACAGGGGCGGACTGACAACTCATGGAGCCCCCGGGCAATAGGGGATCATGGGGCCCCTGTGTCCTTGCCCAAACTCAAAAAAGCCTATGAAAAAGGTACCAGGGACATCTCATGGGGCCCCCTACTGACCCCGGGCCCTCGGGCAGTGCCCGAGTTTCCAGATGGTCAGTCCGCCCCTGGGTGCAGATCACAACATAGAAGCAATTCCAAGTGTGTGAAGTAGATGACCATTCAGAGTCCCTCAGCCCATAATGATGCAGTGAGTTTGACAGCTGTCACTCCACTAAGCTCCATGCACTCGGGGCGTTTTAATAACGCTGGTAATGTTAGCTGTGTAAAGTCACGTTAAAAATGTGAGTTTTTCAGTGTTTTTATATTAGCGTTTTGCTAGGTTTTTCGTGTTTGCATTTTTTAGTGTTTTTTTTTACCAAAAAAAAATATATATTTTTTGTCCTCATGCACATTGGACGTTTTTACAGCGGCTGTTTTTGGCTTTTGACATTTTTTTCTACCACCAGTAAACCCCCCAGCATGATCTAAAGTGAATTGGTGCAGCGCTACCCCAATACTAAACTACTCCCTTACTGGCTTATCCCAAAACATAGATACTTAAACCAATATATGATATACAATAATATGTAAAATAGAATAGAAGGAACATAAAACAGTTCAGGACATACAAAATATTCATAAAAACTTATAAGTGACTAAAAATGCCACCGATGCAATCCAGTGAATACAAATCAATCTCATAAAGTGAGCTGATCTACTAACGTGAAAAAATAGAATATATAATGTGTAGAAATAGAAACGCCAGTGAAAAGAAAAAGTCCTGATGGGACTTCAATATATATAAACTATAATAAACAAAAAAGGTGAATCCCTGAATGTGGGATCAATAATCACACTGATAGGAAAGGTGACCGCAAAAGGCTAGAAATTAGCCAAATAGAGTGAAAAAAGTTTTTTCTATGTTGCGATCTGCACCAGAGTTGTTTGACAAGAATTTTACAAGTGAGTGTACTATTTTTTTAGTTTAATAAATCTACATGTATTGCTAACGGAGATCCCGCGCTGCTGTTCTTTTGTTTTTTTCAAGTCCACTTAACATGGTTTCCTATGGAACTTGTTCACATCTGTGCTTTTTTGAGCTGCTGCATTTTTGGAAAGGGTCAGGGACTTTATTAAAAGCAAAAAGCAGTGTTTTTGCTACAATAGAATTCAATGGAGAATCTGCTGAAATGTATGGTAGTGCGTTTTTGCTGTGTTTTGCGTTTTGCATTTTTATTCTGCCTAGCAAAAAAATGGTACTTGTCTGTTAATTCACCGGTTTTATTTATTTATATATATATATATATATATATATATACAGTCATGGCCGAAATTGTTGGCACCCCCAATTGATATTTCTCCAGGAAATCATGTATTTCTCACGAAACGTATTGCATTAAACACATGTTTTGCTATACACATGTTTATTCCCTTTGTGTGTATTGGGACAAAACAAAAAAAGGGAGGAAAGAAAGCAAATTCGACATAATGTCACACAAACCTCCAAAAAATGGGCTGGACAAAAGTATACACCCTTTCACAACTGCGGATAAATAAGAATGTTACAAGCATGTGATGCTCCTGTAAAACTCACCTGGGGCAAGTAACAGGTGTGGGCAATATAGAAATCACACCTGAAAGCAGATAAAAAGGAGAGACGTTCACTTAACCTTTGCATTGTGTGTCTGTCTGTGCCACACTAAGCATGGACAACAGAAAGAGGAGACGAGAACTGTCTGAGGACCTGAGAACCAAAATTGTGGCAAAATATCAACAATCTCAAGGTTACAAGTCCATCTCCAGAGAACTAGATTTGCCTTTGTCCACAGTGCGCAACATTATCAAGAAGTTTGCAACCCATGGCACTGTAGCTAATCTCCCTGGTCGTGGGACGGATGAGGAAAATTGATGAAAGATTGCAACGCAGAATAGTCCGGATGGTGGATAAGCAGCCCCAAACATGTTCCAAAGACATTCAAGCTGTCCTGCAGGCTCAGGGTATCAGTGTCAGCGCGAACTATCCGTCGACATTTAAATGAAATGAAACGCTATGGCAGGAGACCCAGGAGGACCCCACTGCTGACACAGAGACATAAAAAAGCAAGACTACAGTTGCCAAAATGTACTTGAGTAAGCCAAAAGCCTTCTGGGAAAACGTCTTGTGGACAGATGAGACCAAGATAGAGCTTTTCGGTAAAGCACATCATTCTACTGTTTACCGAAAACGGAATGAGGCCTACAAAGAACAAAACACAGTACCTACGGTAAAATATGGTGGAGGTTCAATGATGTTTTGGGGTTGTTTTGCTGCCTCTGGCACTGGGTGCCTTGACTGTGTGCAAGGCATCATGAAATCTGAGGATTACCAAAGGATTTTGGGTCGCACTGTAGGGCCCAGTGTCAGAAAGCTGGGTTTGCGTCCAAGATCCTGGGTCTTCCAGCAGGACAATGACCCCAAACATACGTCAAAAAGCACTCAGAAATGGATGGCAAAGAAGCGCTGGAGAGTTCTGAAGTGGCCAGCAATGAGCCCAGATCTAAATCCCATTGAACACCTGTGGAGAGATCTTAAAAAAGCAAGCTGTTGGGAAAAGGTGTCCTTCCAATAAGAGAGACCTGGAGCTGTTTGCAAAGGAAGAGTGGTCCAAAATTCCGGGTGAGAGGTGTCAGAAGCTTATTGATGGTTATAGGAAGCGACTGATTTCAGTTATGTTTTCCAAAGGGTGTGCAACCAAATATTAAGTTAAGGGTGCCAATACTTTTGTCCAGCCCATTTTTGGGGTTATGTTTTGTGTGACATTATGTCATATTTGCTTTTAAGCTGCCTCTGTTTTATATTTGTTCCAATACATACAAAGGGAATAAACAACTGTGTATAGCAAAACATGTGTTAATGCAATACCTTTTTTATTATATGTGAAATACTTGATTTTTCAGGAAAAATATCAAGGGTGCCAACAATTTCGGCCATGACTGTATATATATATTTGATATATTTAAATAAAACATATAAAAAAATATATATATTATATATATATATATATATATATATATATATATATATATAGATAGATAAATAAATAAATCCGGTGAATTAACAGACAAGTACCAAAAAAATCCACTTTAAAAAAAAAAAAAAAAAGAGCTGAACAAATCGCGGTAAAAACGCATAAAAAATGCATCAAAAACTTGTGTAGAAAAATGCAAAACAAACTGCAGAAAACACTGCAAAAAAAGCAAACTGCATAGGTGTGAACGGAGCCTAAAACTGGATTGCTCAGAATCTGGTGCAGCTCTGCATGGTAGCCAATCAGCTTCTAACTTTAGCTTGTTCAATTAAGCTTTGACAATAAAACCTGGAAGATGATTAGTTTCTATGCAGAGCTGCATCAGATTTTGCACTCTTCGATTTTAGTAAATAAACCCCTTAAGCAGGCCATACATGGGTTGAATTCCGAATGATTTTTCAATCGAAAACATCGTTCTTTTTGTAATCCGATGGTGCCACCAATGATTTGGAAAATTGGTTGTTTTTCACAAACTTTCCAGCATGCCCGATAAACAAAATGGGGAGGAACCATGAAAATCAGCCGGTGCCATTGCCCCACTAACATAGCGAAAATCGGCCGATTATTCAGATTTTTTGAACAAAAAATCATTTGAAAATCGACCCATGTATGGCTGGCCTTAGGCTCGCCATACAGTATACTATTTTGTTATTCAATTTCCTTTAGATTTAACTTCAATCATGTAATGCAAGGGCCTGTCTGATTGCATACAAATTGAAAGTGTTTAGGTTTGACCTCATATGGTTTTGGTAAATGTAAAGGAAAATTGTATAATGTGTGGCCAGCCTTAGTGTCATGATAGAAATGTATTCTATCATTTGTCCCATCTATAACAACACCTGAATTATGCTTCTGGTACAGGGGCGGACTGACCATTTGGAAACTCGGGCACTGCCCGAGGGCCCAAGGTCAGTAGGGGGCCCCATGAGATGCCCCTGGTACCTTTTTCATAGGCTTTTTTGAGTTTGGGCAAGGATACAGGGGCCCCATGATCCCCTATTGCCCGGGGGCCCCATGAGTTGTCAGTCCGCCCCTGTTCTGGTACAAAGCATTGGGGAGTTATTAGAAAATAAACTAAAGCCATTTGTTTCAATCTTGATCATTTTGTAAAAAATTTTTTAATGGTGCACCAACTAAAAATTACTAACAGAGAAAACAAAAGCAAAAAAAGTTTAAATATTAATGGTAAAAAAAATATGTTGGGCTGACTATAGATTATGTAATTTTCTTTCCTTTAGCCAAGGGTTGAGGGAAACAAAATCAATTGATTCCCTTATCTGCAAAGACAGTGTTGATGGGGGAATCCCTCCTGCATTGCTATAGTATTCTGACACCGGGAGGTTTCCCCACCATCAGAATACAAAGTCTAATGCTGCTGGCTATAGCTGCCGGCAGTAATCCTACAAAAAAGCCTGACAGGCTGGTTGTACTGAAGTCAATAGATTGACTTCAGTACAACCTGTCTGCCTATAGATGGATCGAAATGTGTCCGGTTCCTGCAGAAGCAGATGAATTTCAGTCTGGCTATGGCTGGCTTGAAGTTGAAAAGGAAAGGCATGAGTATTTAGGGCTCATTCATTACTTTTACTTGTATGGTTGCTTTAACTGACATCCTGTGTAGATCGGAGACCACTCCTTTCATCTGCACATGAATAAAACACAATACATGCCATTAGACCAGTGGTTCTCAACCTTCCTAACGCCGTGACCCTTTAATACAGTTCCTCATGTTGTGGTGACCCCCAACCATAAAATTATTTACCCAGTAATTATAATTCCTGAGTGTTGTTTTACCTCCAATACTGCTGCTTTCAACACAGTAGCTGCTTTCAACACAGTAGCTGCTCTTTACACATCGGAAATATGTGTTTTCTGATGGTCTTAGGGGACCCCTGTGAAAGGGTCGTTCGACCCCCAAAGGGGTCGCGACCCACAGGTTGAGAACCACTGCATTAGACTGATTTACTAAAGGAATTGAGAATCTTCACACAATAAATGAATGTTGAATGAATATTCACTTCAAGTATCCAGTCATGCAGATAAAAAAAGTAAACATAAATTTGCTTTTGACATGATCAGATAATTGAAGTGAATATCCTCAAGGGCCTAGGTCCAAACACATTTTTAGCATTTCTCTAACAAACAATAGTAGATAAAGCAGGGGGCTCAACCTTTCAAAGAGTGAGGGATTTGGTAAATAGTCGCGGGCCACAATGAGGTGAAATGGTTCAGAATTTTTTTATTTTTTGACTAACATAAGGACCATTTTCCTCCTTCAGCCACTGAGTTCTGGCAGGAGGGAGGGGAGGAGAACCGGCTTTCAGCTGTTGCAGAATGAAAATGGAGAGCATCACTTTCCGTATATGCCGCCCCTGCCCCTCCTGTCCAATTGTAGAACAGAATGTGACAGGGAGGCCCCCTGGAGCGTGGGGTGGGGTTGAATGTGCAACCTCTGACACTACATAAATTAGGAGGGTCATGGTAAAAATATGTCTCAAGTTTGGGGATTTACTGCCCCCCCCCCCAAACCACAGATGTAAATGAGCCCTTACTGTCCTGAGCCCCCTATAAGGCTGCTGCCTTCACACGGATGTGCTGTGATTTGCCGGCACTGCGGGTGCAATGCAGTGCACCTGTGGCTTTCCTGGGGAATAGGTGCACTTTGCCATAGACTTCTATTATATTCTGCAGGTGCGGTGCAGTTTCTGAAAGCACATCAAAACTCCTGCATTCAGGAGGGCACTAAACCCGCAGCATATAACAGAAGTCTATGTCTCCGTGAAGCTAACCTGCAGGAAAGCCACAGGTGCACTGCGCTGCACCCGTGGATCAGTGTGAAAGCAGCCCAATAGTGGTTAACCCTTTTACAGGTGCCACTATGCTCATTGCAAAAGTGCAGTGTGAATGATAGTTAATACACTGACCTTTTTTTTTCCTCTTCCAGCTTCTGCTGGCATTGCTCTCCAGTCTGCTGAAAATGTCCCAAGTGAAGTGCACTTGGTATCACTCCACCTGGGACAGGAGCTGGCGCTACGGAGGAAGCATTGACTTATGCCGCTCCTGCTCCCTCCATGGTTGCCTGCTTCCGCTGCTTCCAGCGCCGGCTCTCGGCACTGTGATGCTCTGGGATAGTGGGTCGGCAAGCCAAGATCGTGATCAAGGAGTCGCCGACCCCCAGGCATGCGCTTCCCTGGTTTTTGGTTGAGGGCCACATCAGAAGGCTTCAAGGGCCACATGTGGCGCATAGGCCATGGGTTGAGCACCCCTGAGATAAAGTAAGATTTGGTTTACAGAGTCATAAAATGGAAGCATTGACTTATGCCGCTTCTGCTCCCTCCATGGCTGCTTGCTTCCTCTGCTTCCAGCGCCGGCTCTCTGCACTGTGATGCTCTGGGATGGTAGGTTGGCAAGCCCAGATCGCGATCAACAAGTTTGCGACCCCCAGGCATGCGCTTCCCTGGTTTTTGGTTGAGGGCCACATTAGAGGGCTCCAAGGGCCACATGTGGCGCATAAGCCATGGGTTGAGCACCCCTGTGATAACGTAAGATTTGTTTACAGAGTCATAAAATGACTGTGTTTACACTGAAATCCTGACCAGTATGTAGCCCCTGAGGACTCACAACTTTTTTAGTAAATCAGCCTCAATGTTACAATGATGTTGTTACATTGTATTTCACAGTGAAGCTTTGGACGATGCTGGGGCCTTCTCCAAAGCCTCATTTTACACAGCAAAGAAAATAAATAATGTGTATAAACTGTTAAAAAGAGATTTAATTGCCAGAGTTGATTTTTTATCCATTTATATATTTTTAGACCGTCAGTTAGCAGAGCGGCTCCCCAGCCAGAAAAGCTACAGAAGAACAACATTAATAAGAAAAAGAAAGTGGTCGAGGTATGTATATATAGGTATGAGTAGATTGTATTTTTTTAAAGGAGTTTTATTATAGCTTTGGCTTTTTCCTTTAGTGGTGTAGTTGTACAGGTCTGTTTCGACAACAGGCCGTACAGTAAACATTTTTTTTCATTCAACTAATGGGTTGAACCAAAAAAAAGTTCCTCCATCCACATATCCGAGGTGGACAGGGGAATCACTCCTGCTGTGCTATTGTATTATCACTGCCCTCAGAAGTGTTGCTGGCAGGGGTGTATTTACCACAAGGCAAACAAGGCATTTGCCTAGGGCGGCATTTTTCATGGGGGGGCAGCAATGCCCCTTGGAAGAAAGGAAGGAAGAAGGGACACACGTGGCATGGGGACCTGGTGGGTTCCAAGAGATACTGTGGGTTTCATGACGGTGTATGCACAGACCAACTCTCGTTCCTGGGGATGTCCAGAGTTGTGAAGGTGAGTGTCTCTCTCTCAAAGTGGGGGATGGTGACTGGTGTATGGGGGGCAGTGGTTGTGGAAGGCTCGGGTGGAGGGCAGGGGTGTTCTTGTTCAATGTCAGGCTCTTTCTGGGGGGGCGCCAATTTTTGTGTTGCCTAGGGCAACACAGCACAAAACCTAAATACACCACTGGTTGCTAGCTATAGCTGGCGGCACTGATGGTTCAGAAAAACCAGACAGGGTGGTTGTACAGAAGTTGATTAATAAATCGACTTCTCTACAACCAGGGTGCCCTCCATGGATCGAAATTCGACCATTCCCCGCTGAACTGACCAAACTTTGATCCATGTATAGCCAGGCTAAAACAGAATAAACAGAGAAAAATCATTGTGGATAAAGTAGCATGCATCTATTTGCCCTCTCACTTTACCTGATAGATTAAAACGTTTGCATCTTCAATATTGAGGGGTTAATGACCAAGCTTTTGGAATGGGATGTCCAACCAGTTCATATAGGTATGAGGGTCAGGTGTCCATAAACGTTTAGCCATTTAATGTATATATATTAACCACTTGAGCTCTGGAAAATGTTATCCCCTTCATAGCCAGGCCATTTTTCACCATACAACACTGCGCTACTTTAACTGGTAATAGCGCGGTCATGCAACACTGTACCCAAGTTAAATTTATATAATTTTTTTTCACACAAATAGAGCTTTCTTTTGGTGGTATTTGATCACCACTGGGTTTCCTATTTTTTGTGATTTAAACTAAAAGAGACCAAAAAGTTTGAAAAAAAAAAATGTATCCAATAAAAGAATTTTAAAAATCTAATTGCCTCATAAATTTTGGCCAAAATATATTGTGCTACATATATTTGATTAAAAAAAAAATCCCAAAAAGTGTATGTTGGTTTTCATGAAAGTTATAGCACCTACAAACTATGGTGTATATATAGTAACATTTTATTTATTATACTACTGATGGCTGTGATCAGCGACTTATAATGAGACTGTGATAGTGCGGCGGGCAGTGTGACACTGACTAATGCTGGGGTGAACTAACTGCCAGTGACATCACCAGTGACATTAATACAGTGATCAGTGATAATATTATACACTGGCTGGGAAGAAGTTAACATCTAGGGCGATCAAGGGGTTGAATGTGTGCCTAACTAGCATGTGTAATGTATGTAAAGTGTGCTGCTTTTACTAATAGAACTCATCCCTGCGCACAGAGATTGTTTCCTCTGTACAGAGTTCTGTGTTGATTGTCAACATAGAGCTCTGGGCTGTGATTGGACACAATAATAATACTCATCATGTGTATCTTTAACCACTTCCAGTCCAGACACTTTCACCCCCTTCCTGTCCAGGCCAATTTTCAGCTTTCAATGCTATCACACTTTGAATGACAATTACGCAGTCATGCAACAGTGTACCCATATGGATTTTTTTTTTAGATAGATAAAACTTTATTTTGGTGGTATTTATTCACCACTGGGATTTTTTTTTTTTTTTTTGCTATATAAATGAAAAAGTCAAAAAATTTGGAAAAAAAAGTGTTTTAATATTTCTTCATAAATCTTGGCCAAAATGTATTCAATTATCTTTTTAGTAAAAAAAAAAAAAAAAAAATCCAAATTAGTTTAAAACCAAAAATTATAATTTTAAAAAAAAATTATTTTACT